AAATGTGTGGCGTTACCATAGCCGACCGAAAGCGAAACGAAGAGATTCGCAATATGGCAGAATTGAAAAATGACCTTATCACAAAAATTGATAGGGGCGTACTCCAATGGTTTGGGCACGTTGAACGAATGAGTGAAGACCGAATGGTGAAGAAAATATATAGAGCGAAAGTAAATATTAAAAGGTGTCGAGGTAGACCGAGACTAACTTTCGAAGACCATGTGAGCAAATTGCTCGAAGAGGGGAGGGTCAAGAGTACTCGGATATCTAGACGTGCATGTATGAAGAAGTTAATGAACCTGAAAGAAGCGAAAGAGGTATGTAAGGATCGTGACACTTGGCGATCTGTTCTCTCTGGCTACCCCGTTAGGGATTGTGCGTGAAGATAAGTAGGTAAGTAAGTAAGTATATAAGTTTTTAGATATTAAGCGGTTTTGATTTTACCCTTAAGTTACTGAACTGACACTGTTGTAGAATAGTAGAGAGTTCCGTTGCCTAATATGGTTTATTTTCGACAGTTTACTTTTTTATAGCATTGTGTGACAAACCAGCACACAGTCCACCTGGTGGTAAAGCGGATGCTGTGGTCAATATACATCCACATTTATCTTCAACTAAGGATCAAAATGCAAATGCGTTGTCACCTCTAAGGACTAAGATGGAATGCTTCGATTCCAGTAAAAAGGGCTCCGGTTCTCTACACTCACCATACGAAACACTACGCAGTATTCCGTGAGAGCGTGGTCCTGCCCCGGTCGAGCCGACCCATTCGTGCTACAACTATAATATAGCTGCGGCGTGACTCTACAACGTAAAATAAAATAAATATAATACTATAATTATTTTAGCTTGACCTTAGTGGCGAAGTATGAGAATCCACTAACCCATATTATTATCGCGTTATAGAAAATTTAAGGCCCGCGTGTCCCTTCAGCTACCGAGTACGAGTACGAGTCATACGAGCCGGTCATTTCTTGTTTCCAACCCTTTATAAGTGGCCTTGACTGCCTCGTTGGTCTAGTGGGCGTAAACGCGGTTGCTGATCGTGAGGTCCCGGGTTCCAATCCCGGCTCGGGCCGAAATCGGTTATTGTTTTTTTTTTGTTTCATCCGTGTACCTCGGAAAACGCGTAAAACCGTTAGTCCTGTGCTTGATATCTCTCCAATCGTGTCGGTTTACCATCCCACCAGACTATGAGAATGTGAGAATAGGGAGTGCATCTGTGCTTGCGTATTTTTTTTTTTTTTTTTTTATAGAAGAGGGGGCAAACGAGCATGTGGCTCACCTGATGTTAAGTGACTACCGCCGCCCATGGTCAACTGCAACACCAGGGGAATTGCAGACGCGTTGCCGGCCCTTTAGAAAGGAGTAAGCTCTTTTCTTGAAGGTCCCCAGGTCGTATCGGTCCGGAAAAATCGCTGGTGGTAAATTATTCCACAGAGAGGTTGTACGCGGAAGAAAACTCCTTTTGAAACGTACAGTGGTGGACCGCCAAGCATCCAGATGGTGTGGATGGTATCGGGACGTTTGCCGCGTAGTGCGTTCACGAAATTTGGCGGCTGGGATTAATCCGAACAATTCCTCAGAGCACTCTCCATGGTATATGCGAAAGAAAATGCAAAGGGATGCAACATCTCTTCGCAGTGCCAGAGAATCGAGCCGATCGGAAAGCACTCGGTCGTCGACGATTCGAGCCGCTCTGCGCTGGATGTGGTCAAGTGGAAGGAGCTGGTACTGGGGAGCCCCAGCCCAGAGATGGGAACAGTATTCCATGTGCGGCCGAACCTGCGCCTTGTAAAGTTGCAGGCGGTGTGCCGGCATGAAATACTGTCCCGCTCTGCTGAGCACGCCAAGCTTTTTAGACGCCAATTTGGCCTTCCCTTCCAAGTGACCACGAAACTGCACGTCACTCGATATGTCGACGCCGAGGATTCCGATACTGGCTGAGGCAACAAGGGGAGTGCCTTGAAACTGAGGGGATACGACAAAGGGGTTCTTTTTAGCGGTTAACGCGCAAACTTGTGTCTTCTGGGGGTTAAACTGGACTAGATTTAGTCGCCCCCAATCCGAGACTCTGTCCAGCAGAGACTCGACTTCAGACACAAGTTTGTCCCGGCACTCGGAGACGTTTTCCCGAGAAATATTGGCTCGGCCGGTGTAAAGAGCATCACCAGTGCTGTCATCCGCATAGCAATGAATGTTACGGGTCTGCAACATATCATTGATATGCAGAAGAAACAGCGTTGGCGATAGCACGCAGCCCTGTGGAACACCAGCATTAATAGGCTTGCAATCGGAGCTTGCACCGTCTACAACGACCTTGATGCTCCGATCTGCAAGAAAACTGGTGATCCAATCGCACAATTTCTCGGGAAGCCCATAGGAAGGGAGCTTCGAAAGAAGCGCTTTGTGCCAAACCCGATCGAAGGCCTTCGCAATGTCCAAACTAACGGCCAATGCCTCCCCCTTGGACTCTACTGCCTCCGCCCATCTGTGAGTTAGGTAGACCAGAAGATCACCAGCTGACCTACCACGGCGAAAACCGTATTGGCGGTCACTAATCAGCTGGTGATCCTCAAGGTACCTCATGAGCTGGCAGTTTACAATGGACTCCATTGTTTTGGAGAACAAGGAGGTGATGGCGATAGGCCGGTAGTTGGACGGGTCTGAGCGGTCGCCTTTTTTAGGGATCGGGTGGACGAAAGCCGTCTTCCATGATTTTGGGACTACGCCTGGAGTAGGAGTACCGGAAAAAACGCGTTAAAACCGGTGCCAACTCTGGAGCACACGTCCTCAGCACAATTGGGGGGATTCCGTCAGGCCCACTCGACTTGTGGATGTCCAGGGAGAGGAGTGCTTTGCGAACCGAGCGCTGAGTGAACTGCACTTCCGGCATGGAGCACTCACACCGCGGGATGGTCGGCGGCGTACTCCCCCCGTCATCGAGAGTCGAGTTAGACGCAAAAAAAGAGCCTAGAAGATCGGCTTTCTCCTTTGCGGTGTGGGCCAGTGAGTCGTCCTCCCTGTGCAGAGATGGAAGAGATGGCTGACAGAAATTCCCCTGGACAGCCTTGGCGAGAGACCAAAATGTACGGGTTCCAGAGGGAAGACGAACTAGTTTCTCGCCAATTCTGCCTATGTGCTCTGACTTTGCCTTGGCAATGACTCTTTTGAAGGACCTAGAGGCGGAATTATACTTCTTTTTTAGAGCGCTGGTGTTTACATCCCTGGACGCTGATGCGTCAGCCCAGGCCTGGTAGCACTCCTGCTTATAGCATGATGCTATTTTACAGGAGCGACCAAACCATGGCTGAGATTTGCCTCCAATGGGCACCACAGAGGAAGGAATAAAAAGTTCCATACCCTGAAGTACCACATCAGCGACAGAATCCGCAACAACGTTGGGATCGTCCGGCGAGAAGCAAACCCGCCCCCAAGGGTAGGATGCAAAGAAAGACCGCATCCCATCCCAATCGGCTGACCTATAGTGCCAAACACGGCGGCAGCCTGCAGAATGCAACCGCGATTTCAGCGTGAGTGGCACCACACTCCGGACAAGACAATGGTCCGAGGAGCCTAAAGGGGCGTCGACGGAAATCTGATATCCGTCCGGGTGAGAGGTCAGCAGAAGGTCCAACAGGGAAGGTGCATGATCCTCCACATCTGGAATCCGCGTAGGCGAAGTAACCAGTTGTGTCAGACCATATGACAGGGCAAAATCATGAACAGATCTCCCCGCATGATCAGTTAAGAAACCATTCGGCGTGATGGGCGTTAAAGTCGCCGAGGATCACGATCTCTGCGGAGGGGATCTGCTGTAGCAACGAATCTGCAGCCATTTGGACGTGGTCGAAGAGTCGGTCTGTTTCGGCATTACCGCTGTGGGACCTATAGAGGCACCCGTAGATGCGCGGATGGTCGTCGCTGTCTACGCGTAGCCAAAGGATGGACAGGTCCGAACCTTCAAGTCTGCCGAGGCGTCGAGAACAGATGTCCTCTCTGACGTAAACGCAAACTCCAGCCCGAGGCACAAAGGAGTGTTCCAGTTTGTACCCCGGGTAGGAGAGATACGAGACATCAGCCGGAGGGGACACCTGCGTCTCGGTCAGAAAGAGCAGAGCCGGCCTCGCCGTCTCGAGATGGTAGTGGACGGCGTTTAGGTTGGAGTGAAGTCCCCTGATATTGCAGAAATTCACGGACAGCGTGGCAGGGGTCGCCTTGGTCTTGTTGCTCCGTTTGCCCCGAGCAGTTTTAGTCTTGAGCGGAATTTTGCCCCCCCAGAATACGCGGGGCAGCCTGAGCACCCACGCTCAGAAGTGGAAAAAAATGGTCGTGGATGCTCAGCGAGGGATTCTCCAGGGGTGCTGGTACCCTCCTGGGGTAGTCTATCATTGAATTCCGCTACCATGTTGATGGGGGGGGGATTTGGGCCTCCGGCCACCTGCACTCACCAGACGAAACGCGGAAGCAGAGCTTCCACTTCACGCCGGTATTCTGTGAGGTCGTGGTACCACCCCGGTTTGAGCCGGCCCATACGTGCGACAGCAAAGCTGCCGCGTGGCTCTACCACTGTTAATATATATAATATACACTTGGGCACTATAATCCTGTCCTGCGCCGATGACTTGTGATCGGATACTCTAGCCACCGTAATCGTAATTCGGTCTGGAGGACATTACTATTATGGGAGGCCTAAGCCGTATGGAATAATAATAGACTCTTTGCTCACATTTTTTTTTCGAAATACCTACTAAAAATGTATTGACATTCAAACTATCCATGTTTCGCGTATATAGCCTTCAGATGGCGATCATTAATTAAGGCCGTTTATATCCACATTAAGATGTCGGTAAATGTCGCGCTCTGCACGTTGAGCGAGTGACCTTACACGAGTGAATTAATTAATGTCTTGTTTAAATTCCATTCATTTCCTTAAAACAATATACTGTTTACTGTTCAATTCTAGAGTATTGTAACTGTTGCAAGCATGTTACAAAATAATGTTTTCGTAAGTTTACTCCACAATCTACATCATTACTTCCTCCGGACAGTAACATTTTTATATGAATAGGGCGACAAAGGAACACGCTTAACTTAAGTTAATGCTGTAGTGACTTATTTTATAGCATAAGGTAGGCAAACAAACACACAGTCCACCTGATGGTAAGTGGATGCTGTGGCCCATGGACATTCATATAAATTAAGAATCAAAATGCATCTGCATTGTCACCCCTGAGGACTTAGATGGATTGCCCCGTTTCCAGTTTTTTTAAGTAGAATATGGGTGACTAACGAGCGCACAGTTCACCTGATGGTAAGTGTATGCTGTGGCCTACATATATCCTCGATTAAGGATTGAAACGGAGATGCGTTGTCACCCGTGAGGACTAAAATGGAATCCCTCGTTTCCGGTATAAAAGGGTTCTCTATACTCACCACCACAAAACACAGCAGCATTAAGCTGCTATTTTACGCTGGTATTCTGTGAGACAGATGTTCCTGAGGAAGTATGGGAGAGCAAAGTCCAAAGTGAAGTTATGACAGTTTGAGTTGATGGACGTAATTGCTATAGTTAATGTCCGTGAATTGCTATTGCAAGTTCGCCTGGAATACCATTATTCGATAATTGCAGTCATTAGCATTTGCGTAGGACGAGATGATAGATAACGCTTCATTTGCGTTTAACTCATGTATTCGTATCGACAACTACGTTGCTAAGGCCTCAGTGACATTGATAGGAAATTCGTTTAGTGCTTAACTCCACGCTGTGTGCTAAAGTATATATATATATATAAAACTGAGCTTAGGGATTTTATCGCAACCATGGTCCCCCATGACCAAAGCATTAAAAAAGGTTAAATAAGTTAAATTAAATTCGTAAAATAAATTTTATTTATATAATACATAAATAAGACATAAAGTGATGTAGAATCTATTAAAAATTTTGCTTCTGTCAAAAATACGCAATCAGCGCTGTTAGCGGTCTTTAATGAAATTATTTTACGATATACCCGTTTTACTGACGCACTGAACTGTTATCAGATATACATATGCTCATGCCAATCTCTTGGTTATTTTGTCGCTGTCACCTCTTACAATACCCACGAGATGTTAGTGGGAGGTAGTTGATATTCTTACACCCCCACTACACTACGGCACCAATCAGTATTTAATTTAGGGTATGCCTGTACATAATTTTAGGAAGTTTATAGGCTTTAATTTTACATTTTTACATTAGTACAACAGTACAGTTGCACTACATATTCTTTCCTGCTTAACTTGTTTTGTTTATCTGTTTAGTGACTTAAGACTTATAGAAATTTCTTATTGTTACAGAGGCGTTTTCCCGTGGAAAAGCAGTTCTTCTAAAACCCAAGAGTCGACCACACCTGGTGTTACTTGGCGACTATTCGGGAGCAAGTCCACCAATAATCTTGCAGTTAAGGCTAGCCCGGAAACGCAGAAGTCCCTAAGCCCGGTGTCCTCGGCCGCTAACACACCACACCACCACAAAAGACAGGGCAGTTCCGCTAGTGAGAAACAGTTCGAAGATCTGGTTGCGAGTTCCATAGCACTCATACAACATGACAGGTGAGATATGAAGACTTTGTTGTGTTTATGGAGTAGTACGTGGTAGAGGCACGCTGCAGCTGTATAATACAAATGGGTTGTGTGGTCTTGCACCATCCTGCCAGACTGGCAAAACATGTAATTCAGCCAAAATACATTCTTACGTGGTAGAGTCATACAAACAAATATACAAACAATACAACTGCAGTAGTTTTAATGTCTGCAGTACGAATGGGTCGGCTCAACTGGTGAAGTACCACGCTATCCGAATACCAGCGTAAAATAGCAGCATAATATCTATATTGATGAGACATTATGCCTCAGTCCTCTGGGGTGACAACGCATCTGCTTTTTGATTTTTAATCGACAATAGATGTAGGGGTCTAAAGGCCCCAGCATCCACCTACCGTCAATTTTACTGTGCGCTAGTTTTTCGCTCTTCTATAATACATATTTTAGGCGCACTAGATGTCAGACTGGTGATGAGGAATTATCAGTTCAGGGGTCTCCGCTCGGCCCCTCCCCCCAGGCTAGCCTGGTGGTGAACAAATCTTTTAAGAAATTTTTGAGCTTGCGTTTTCATATCCTATTCAGTTGTGAACTTAAAAATGGGATAATGATGATGAATGTCTAAACTGCATGAATCTCTGAGTAATAAGTAATTTTTTTAATAAGAATAATGGTGACAAACGAGCACCCAGTCTACTTGATGGTAAGTGGACGGTGTGGCTTATAGATAGCTACATTTAACCCCAATTCAGAATCAAAATGCAGATGCGTTGTCACCCTTGAGGAATGAGATGAAATGCCTCGTTTCCAGTAAAATGGGTTATTGCCCTATCGCATAGAGAAACCGACAGCCAATCGAGTAGAAGGTATTTTACGTTGAGGGTCGAGGACAAAATTGTGATTTGATGTTGAGGGTTGAGGGTCTTCGTGAAATACTAGAACATCCATAGCAGTATATGTGTAGCCAGCATTATAAACTAAAACTTCTAACACGCAAAACACTAGTACTAAAAAAATATTTCATCTCTCAAAACATTTTGACAGCCGAGTTATATATAACACTCCCGTCGTCTACAGAAGTGTACGCAGTTGAGCTATTTTTAAATAATGTTGATAACGGCTGCCGCTGGACGTCTGTGTTGCATCACCGGATGTGGAAATGAGCAGTTGTGAGGAATGCGCTTGTTTATCAGAATCCGCTGATATGGGTCGACTCGTGTTTTCCATCGTATCGGGACGGGAAGTCGCTTGACCGTGTGGTAACATAGTACTTTTTTACAGAATACTAGTACTAGTATTAAAAAGATACAAGTACCAAGTGCATTATTGTTAGTGTCAACGAAATACAAGTAAGAAACTAAATAAAATATAAATAAACACTCACGCCTGTCACCCAGAGGGGAAGGCAGAGACTATGGACTTCCATTTGGCACGATCCTGACACACCTCTCTCGCCTCCTTTACATCCATATACCTACGCATGCATCCTCGTCGGTTAAGGGTACTTTTAATTTGGCTCATTTTCAATATATAGCCAATTTGGTCAATAAAATTTCGCCTAGGGCGTCTCTTCCTGACTGACTTTTTCCTCGATCATTCTTTCTACATGATCAAACTACCGAAGCATTCCTTTCTTAACCCGGGTCACGACATCATCTTGCAAACTAAACTTTTCTATTATCATACAATTTCTCACCCTGTCATTCCGATTCAGCCCTAACATTATTTATAGCATTGGGTGACAAACGAGCACACAGTTCAACTGATGATAAGGGAATGCTGTGACCTGTAGACATCCACATTTATCCCCAATAAATAATCAAAATTCAAATGCGTTGTCACCCTTGAGAACTAAGATGGAATCGATTCCAGTAAAAAGGGTCTCCGGTTCTCTACATTCACCATACGAAACACAGCAACATTACACTGCTATTTTACGCTGGTATTCTGTGAGAGCGTGGTCCCGCCAGCAGACCCATTCATGCTACAATTATACTATAACTGCAGCATGGCTCTACCACATAAAAATAACATACTCTTTAATGACTGCATTTTTACAGCATTTATTCTACTCTCGTGCTTCTTCTGCCGCACCCAACTTTCACTATCATACATTAAATTACCATACATTACATAAACTACAAGTGCGTTATTGTTCTTTTACTACCCGTAAAATTCTACGACCGGATATTGGCCTCTCTTAATGAGGACATCCACGACTTTTTACGTCACCAGGGCGGCGTAACTTTGGTATGAGATGAAATGGAGATTTCACAAATTTCGTAGCGGGGAGGTTAATTTGTTAGGAAAATGTAAGGTTAAATGTTTGTTACATTTGTTATATTATATATATATGTTGAATAAACTTAACTACTAATATTTCTCAAAGTAGAAAAGTTAAAAAAAGAGTTAATACACATTTTTACAAAACATTAAAAAAAGAAACCTTTGAGGTATTGTATTGCGTATTACTATAATCTCGGTCCTAATCAGCCCTAGTAGCGACATCAAGTAAACGGAAGATTATTAACCCTCGATGAGAAAGGATCTGCCGTAATCGCTCACGCTTGTAGGCAGTTTGAAGATCAGAAGTAGAAGAATATCTTGCATCTTGGATGATTCTACCTGTCGCCCCAGTGCCGATATTTTACCGAGGATTATTTAAACGAGATGTAATACCAATTATTGAAAGCTGTAAATACGAACGGAATAGAAGTGGGGTCATGAGTTCCCATACGCAACCACTACATGCATTACCGTTACAGCATATTAAAATCCACCGCTGAACAAAGGCCTCCCCCGTAAATTGCCTCATAGGGGGGATATTTGCCACAGTTGCCACGCTTGCCAAGCGGGCTGGCAACCGCAGTTTTTTATTTTTAGTCGTTATTAGGGAGACGCTAGAGCCGCGGTAGCTCGGATGGTTAACGCTCGCAGTAAATATAACAGAACGCGAGTAACCCGGGTTCGATCCCCGTCGGCACCAATGAAATTGTTAGTGCTGATTTACCACGTCCTCGGCGGTGAAGGAAAACATCGTGAGGAAACCTGCATGTCTGAGGAATAAGAAAAAAATATTTCGAAGACATGTGAAGTTCACCAACACGCATTGGGGCAGTGCGGCGGACACTTACGAGGACGGCACTGAAAATTTCGGGGATCAAGGAAGTGACACAACATTACTATTTAAAAATCTATTTATTGCTTTTCGAAGTATTCTCCGCGAAATTTGACACATTTTTCCATACGATGGAACCAATCATTGAAGCAACCATTCCATTCGGAAGTTGGGGTCTCCAAAATGGCCGTTTTGTAGGCGTCCACAGCTTCTTCAGGTGATGAAAATCTCTGTCCATGCAATTTATTCTTTATTTTAGGGAAAGTATAGAAATCATTAGAGCTTAGGTCGGGGCTGTACGGCGGATGGTCTAATAATTCTATGTTTTCTTGCTCTAAAAACTCTTTTTGTTCTGTGTGCGGTGTGAGAACTCGCATTGTCGTGATGGAGGATGATGCGGCGGTTGCAGTTCTCTTTACGGAGTTCAGAAACGACCTGTGGCAAACAAATGCTAGCATACCATTCTGCATTAACCGTTCTTTGTCCCTCAAAAGGAATAGTCGTAACATGGCCGGTTCTGGAGACAAACGTGGCCACCATTTTATTGCAACACTCCGTGAACGAACAATTTTTCTTGGCTTTAACTCATTTTCGAACACCCAAACTCGTGTCTGGTTTTTTGTTTCGGGTTCGTACGCGTATATCCAGGATTCGTCACCTGATACGATGTTGTATACAGCATTTGAGGATCCTAAGTGGAATCTTTCGAGAGTTCTGACGCACCAAGTAACGCGAGCCGCTTTTTGCTCTTAACAGAGCGAAAGCGGTATCCATCGGGAAAACAGCTTTTTTACACCGAATTGTTCATGCAAGATTATTTGTATTTGACTCATGCCAATGTTTAAAGTTGCCTGAATTTCGCGGTATGTCACATGTCGATCTTTCTCAATCAGCTTACGCACAGCATCAACGTTTTCTTGGGGACTGCAGTTTTTGGACGACCTTGACGGGGATCATCACTGAGCTTGACACGTCAGCGATAAATTGTGGTTTTGGATGGGGATTCATCACCAAATGCAGAAATCATCCGGTCAACACACTGTTTTTGTGTTAAACCGCTTCGAATGTCATAATAAATCATCGCTCTTGAATTTTCTCGAGTCAATTCCATTTTCTCAACGACTAAACAAGTTTGACAACACCTTGTGACAAGACCGAGAATCTTTTTTTTAAATAAATAAATGGTATTCGATTTTTAAAACCAAGGAGTTTTCAATTAAAAACATTTTAATATGACAGGAACAGTGGAAATATTCCATTCCCGATACTTTTAGTGCAGCCTGTGTACTTGCCCTCAAACCCTTTCAGAAATGAGGAGAAGCCTGTGCCCAGCAGTGGGACGTATATGTATAGGCTGTAACTTTATTTTTTTTACTTTACTTTAGCAAGATGCAGCTATCAATATCCGGATTTGTTCCCCTCTGTCGCCTCTTACGATACCCACGGGATGTTATGCGGTAGTGGATATTGTTACAGCACTACACGATATTATACTGCATTATTGGACACCGAATACAATAAAGGCAATTGGGAACGATACTCTACAATTCGATTGAAGCACAATTGGGTGCGGTCGTTGACCAACTTTACTTAATTCAGTAGGGTTTGAAAACAAACTGTATTGATTTTTAACAAAGTTGAAAAAAAAAAAAACAAGAAGGTTCTATATTCGATGCGTAGGTTTTGTATGTATCATCATCATCATCATTACGGCCTTTCACTAGTCCACTGCTGAACATAGGCCTTTCTTATGTATCACCAATTTATCGGAAATGTTTAAACCGATTTAAATGATTGTTTTATTGAATAGGTTATACTTCGGGGTGATCCGGTATAATTTTAAAATAAGAATCCCATCCCTAAAGGTGAAAAAATATGGGTTGAACATTTTAAT